ACCTATTCCCAGTGTGTCCCATGCACCTGTCATTGATCTGAAACCCAGTACATATGTGCTCATTGAACATTTACTAGATAAGTAAATACACATCATCACACAGCTTCTCTATTCATTTTTGTCATGTGGCAAGTCTTTCACTTTATCATCTGTATTTACCCCTCTAAGCAGTCAATGAGCAATGTTTTCAAGTATGTAAAAAAATTACATTTTGGAAACAAAAGCATAGCGTGTCCAAGTGTCCAGCACAGCCACAGGCTCAACTTCATTCTCTGACTTCTCAGAATTTGCTGTCTCTCACTCAAACATCATTGAGATCTTATCTTTTTCTCACATCACAGATGGATTTTTCTAGGGCTATTTATGGTTTTTTTTCTCTTTTGGACTAACCTACATAATTACTAATAGATTTCAGTAATTTTTTTATTTCACAAGTGTTTTTCACAGATAATTTCAACTCCCTGTGCAAATACGGTTGTAAACACAGGTGAAATTTTAAATCACTTCTGAGGAAGAAGATAACATCAAGGAATTCCACACCTTTTTTGAGGATAAGATGTGCATATGCTTCAACTGTGAAAATGGTAGACAATGTCGTGTCCAGAAATGGCATGTATCAGCTGCTCTTGAGAAATAAAAGTAAAATTCTAAGCACCTCCTAACTAACTGAATGGATGCCCTCTTGACCATGAGAACCCTAGAATAACTTTGGAAGCTGAATTCACCACTATAGAGGAATGGGAAATCAGACACCCTTCATTATATCCCCTACCTCACTACAATCATTAGGTTTTCTTCCCTAAGGGCTAAATAGAAATCAGCCTTTTCAGAAGACTACTAGCTTACCTTCCAAGGTACAGAACAGAGAGAAGATGAGATTATTCATTCCTTCATCCTTCTCTGAGGCATCTGCTTTCTCTATTCCCTTTTCCCCTCACGTGTTTACTCTATCTTATGTAAAATGTAGATTTACTGGGCACTAACTAAAGTTTCACATGTCTGTAATCAGTTGTCTCACTGCCAACCCCTCTTCCTTTTTAAGGAAAATGTATAATAAATACTAAAACTCCTAAGAACCTCTCTGGAAAAATCAGTCACATTTGCTTCTGTGACTTACATTTTTCTGGATGTGCCTTTAGGCTGGTCCAGTAAACCTCCATGATTTGTGACTTATGCTTCAATCACTCATTTTGGTCGTCACTTTCATTTTCAGATAGGATCGTGATTCTTAAAATAAATGGAAAATGTATATCAGATATGAAGTAGTAAGTATTATTAGAATAAAAGCGTTGTACCCTTCATAGGAACACAATCGCTGACTCTACAGTTAGGTAACGTCTTCTCTTTGATCCAGAGGCATAGCTTCACCCTTTCAACCTACTTCAGTGCCTCCTGCCATCCTTCCTACAAATTCCAGTCCATAGCCCTAACTGTGTAGTCTGTCTTTCTTCTTCTGGACCAAACATATTGAGGCTTACTAAACAGACTCCAAAGCGTAACTGTATGTGTATTTGAAAAGCAACAATATGGCTGACAGGCATGAGTAGAGACCGAGTGCCTTTATGGTATGGGGTGTCTCTCTGGACGTGTAGTCATTGGGAATTAGCTGGGCTTAATAGAGTCTTAAATAATAAGTTGCTAACATTTCTGTAAATATCCTACACTACGCTACAAAAAAAATCGTGTGTTGCCTTTAAGAGCAAGCCAAGCCCCCTCCTGTCTTTGGAGTCGGGGACTCCGTTTCCCAGCTCCCCTGACAGTGCCACTGGGCCTTTATCTGCCATATAAGGACTGATCAACGCTCTAAGACAAGTCCGGAAGCGGTGTCGAAACTTCATAACCCAGAAGACACTGCAGCGCTCGGCGGCACGACTTACCCAATAAAGGTTTAGAAGGTGACAGTTGCGTGCGTGCGTGCGCACCGTCGGGGGGCGGGACTTCCGTCGTCCTCCTGGTGGTCGTGGTTCTGGTTCTCTCTGGTGTTTCGCTAGGTCCGGCCTATGGCGCTCTCTGACGTCACCGAAGTGACGGAGCGGAAAAGCGCGAGAAGCGGCTTGGTTCCCACCGCGGAGAGGCGGGAGTGAGTCAACTGACAAGCGCTGGGGACGGCGGTGTCCTTGTCTTGCCTTTGTCGCCCCCGCCCCGCTCTTCCCTGACTGGGCCGGCGGAGGCCTTGCTGATGAACCTGACTGAGGTGGGTGCCCCGTCGCAGGCTCCCCCACCTCCCAGTGCTGAAGCCCCTAGAAGGGGCCCTGCCGGTCAGGCCCCTTGTCCCGAAGAGAGGGGCGTTCCTGTGTGGGGTCCCCGTATCAGCCGGTTTGATGCAGCCTCAGAGCTCCCTTCGGGGACCTCAGGTTCAGGGCATGGAGGCGCTGCCGAGTGCGCTGTGTGGGGGCGCCCGGGGTGTGTGTGGTTTGTGCGGGAAAGAGCGTTTTGTGAATTCTCGCTTGGAATGGCAGCCTAAGCAGCCAGTAACCATGGAGGGTTGTCGAGGGACGGACAGTTGGAGGGGGCAGGTCCAGAGTTCGAAGTTTCAAGTTAGGAAAACCAGGCTAGGAATGGATGGATACAGGGAGACCGGCGAAAAGGCCCTGAGGCCACTGCAATAGACCCAGGAGAATTGTGGTTGGGGCTGGACCAGTGACAGGAGAGGGAGATGTGATGAGATTCTTCATAGGCCTGAAGGATAGGGCCGGTGGGTTTTCCTGGTGCTTCACTTATGTCTGAACAAAGGCAGTGAAGAGCCGTTTCAAGTGTTTGGTTTGTTTTGTTTTGTTTTTTCTGTTTAAACGTTGGAAAGAATGGAGTTGGGGAAGTCAGTATAAGGAGCAGATTTCCGGGAGAAGATCACAGGTTGGATTTTGGACATGACGGTTCTCAAATGTCTTAAGATGGATATGTCACACAGGCAGGTGGATATAAAGGTGTGGAGTCTGAGGAAGGAGATTGGGTTGGCCATACCAGAGGGATGGAGGGCGTGGACTGGGCCGGAGCATGGTCTGAGGATCAGATTGAGTAGGAAGGTCTCTGGGGTTTTCGTTTGTTTGTTTGCATAAATTTAAGGACTCAAGTGGAGTTTTGTTACATGGGTATATTGCATAGTGGTGAAGTCTGGGCTTTTAATGTATCCATCGCCTGAATAATGTACATTGTATCCATTAAGTAATTTCTCATCACCCATCTTTGTCTCATCCTTCTACCTGTTTGGAGTCTCCAGTGTCTGTCGTTCCATACTGTGTGTCCGTGTGTACACATTATTCAGCTTCCACTTATAAGTGAGAACATTTGGTATTTGACTTCCCCCCCACCAGGCGGAGTCTTGCTGTGTAGCCCAGGCTGGAGTGCGGTGGTGCGATCTCGGCTCACTGCAAGCTCCGCCTCCCGGGTTCACGCCATTCTCTTGCCTCAGCCTCCGGAGTAGCTGGGACTACAGGCGCCCGCCACCTCGCCCGGCTAATGTTTTGTATTTTTAGTAGAGACGGGGTTTCACTGTGTTAGCCAGGATGGTTTCGATCTCCTGACCTCATGATCTGCCCGCCTCGGCCTCCCAAATTGCTGGGATTACAGGAGTGAGCGACCGCGCCCGACCGGTATTTGACCCTCTGTTTCTGAGTTGTTTCATTTAATAATGGCCTCCAGTTCCATCCACATTGCTGTAAAAGACATAGTTTCATTCTTTTTGTGTGTGTGTGTGTGTGTGTGTGTGTGTGTGTGTGTGTGTGTGTCCCAGTGGTATTACCTTGTGTATATATATGCCCCATTTTCTTTACCCAGTCATACATTGATGGACAGTTACGTTAATTTCCTATCTTTGCTATTGTGAATAGTGCTGTGATAAAAATACATGTATGTTTTTTATATAATGATTTCTTTTCCTTTGGGTAGATGCCCAGTAGTGGGATTGGTGGATTTAATAGTAGTTGTATTTTCAGTTATTTGAAAAATCTTCGGCCGGGCGCGGTGGCTCAAGCCTGTAATCCCAGCACTTTGGGAGGCCGAGACGGGCGGATCACGAGGTCAGGAGATCGAGACCATCCTGGCTAACACGGGCGAAACCGCGTCTCTACTAAAAAAAAAAATACAAAAAAACTAGCTGGGCGAGGCAGCGGGCGCCTGTAGTCCCAGCTACTCGGGAGGCTGAGGCAGGAGAATGACGTAAACCCGGGAGGCGGAGCTTGCAGTGAGCTGAGATCGGGCCACTGCACTCCAGTCTGGGCGACAGAGCGAGACTCCGTCTCAAAAAAAAAAAAAAAAAAAAAAAATCTTCATACTGTTTTCCATTGAGGTTGTACTTATTTACATTCTCACCAACAGTGTATAAGCTTTTTCTTTTCTCCATATCCTGGGCAACATCGGTTATTTTTTGACGTTTTAATGATAGCCATTCTTACTGGTGTAAGGAGATACTGTGGTTTTAATTTGAATTTGTCTGATGATTAATGATGTTGAGCATTTTTTATATGTCTCTTTGCCATTTATATGTCTTTTTTTGAAAAATGTCTATTAATTTCCTATGCTTACTGTTAATGAGGTTTTGTTGTTGTTGTTGTTTTGTTTGTTGTTGAGTTCTTTGTAAATTCTGGATATGAATACCCTGTCAGATGCATAGTTTGCAAATATTTTATCCCATTTTTCAGGTTGTGCATTCACTTGGTTGATTAGTCTTTTTGCTATGCAGAAGCTATTTAGTTTAATTAGGTCCTATCTGTCTACTTTTTTTTTTTTTTTTTTTTTTTTGAGACGGAGTCTCGCTGTGTCTCCCAGGCTGGAGTGCAGTGGCGTGATCTCGGCTCACTGCAAGCTCCGCCTCCCGGGTTCACGCCATTCTCCCGCCTCAGCCTCCCAAGCAGCTGGGACTACAGGCGCCCGCCACCACTCCCGGCTAGTTTTTTGTATTTTTAGTAGAGACGGGGTTTCACCATGTTAGCCAGGATAGTCTCGATCTCCTGACCTCGTGATCCACCCGCCTCGGCCTCCCAAAGTGCTGGGATTACAGGCTTGAGCCACCGCGCCCGGCCTACTTTTCTTTATGTTATTTGTGCTTTTGAAGTCTTATTCATGAATTTTTTGCCTAGACCATGTCCAGAAGGGGTTTCCCTGGGTTTTCTTTTCGTATTTTTAGTTTCAGGTCCTACATTTGAATCTTTAATTCATCTTGAGTTGATTTTTGTATATGGTAAGAGAAATTGGTCCAGATTCATTCTTCTTCATCTGGCAATCCAGTTTTCCCAGCACCTTTTATTGAAAAGTGTGTCCTTTCCCTAGTGTACGTATTTGTTGCCTTTCTCAAAGATCAGTTGGCTGTAGATATGTGGCTTTATTTCTGGGAACTTTATTTTCTTCCACTGATCTATGTGTCTTATTTCTGCAGTCAAATGCTTTACCATTCAGCTATACTCCCTATATGTCTAGTTCTATACCATTACCATGCTATTTTGGTTACTACCAACTTGTAGTATAATTTGAAGTCAGATGGACTTAATTTGAGGGAAATCTTGGGGTTGTCATTTCAGGTGGGCTCTGTGGTGAGAGAGCAGAGGGCTGAGACTTGGGGGCCAGACCATTGGTGGCTCCACAGACATCATACTCTGTTCAGAAAGGCACAGACCTGGCCTAACAGGGATTCTGGATTGTATCTGTAAAAAGGGAGGCCTGGACTGAATAAGCAGATAGCCTGGGATGGAGGCTGAGGTGTGAGGTGGTTTCGATTCTACATCTGCAGGCTTGGTTGACCCTCAGGGCCACTCTCTGTTGAACAAGAGAAATGTTATTGAGGCTGGTGGAGTAGCTGGGTTCTAGACCAGAGCACTGCTTTTTCTCCTTCTCTACATGTAAGGGCAAGAGGGGATGATCTGCTGCTCCAACCAAGATCTCCTGGCAAGCTCACTTTAGAAGCTTCTGCAGCAGGTAGACCTGGTTGCCGAAAGGACCAGTACCTGACCTGCCTTCTCTTCCCCTCTCTATAACTCATTAACTTAATAATGTACGAAACACATACTGATTTAAACCCTAATTAGACAATATCTTTCTAAGTGTGTGCAAACAGGTAGGCAGTTAATAGTGAAGTTATTAAGTTAAATTTCCAAAAGTGGTTCATAATTGGTTTGATGTTAATTTATCTCATTTGCTTTCCATGGAAAAATTTAATATCACATCCTCTAAAATCTTAAGCTAAAAACATACATGAAAATTTCAAAACCCCACTATTTCATTTGTATTGAACACATGTACAAAAGCATTAATTCGTGGACCCTAGCAGCTGATATATGGTATATGCTACTGATGTTTGATACTACATGAGCCCTGTGAGGGGGCAGCTATTCTTACAATCTATTTACAGATGGGGACACTGAAGCTCAGGTGGGTTCAGTTCTTTTCCATGGTCACAGAGCTGCAGCACTGAGGCCTGAGGAACTTTATGCGATGAATTGAGATCAGTTTGGTCCCAGGCAGAGCAGAAGAGGTGGCGGTCCATCTCAGCCTGTAGGATCCTTCCATGGCTGTCCATTTCTCATGGCCTTTCTCTTCCCTCAGGGTCCCCTAGTGATGGCAGAAACGGACCCTACACAGGTGAGTAGAGTGCTTCCTACCGTCCACCCACTCCGGTTATCTCCCAGATGGTTTTGGCAGGTGCCAGAACCTCTTTTCCTGTCTTTCTCTTATGTCTGAAGAGTGGGTGCTTTCACCAGTTTCAGTATTGTAAGTTGGATGCTGGGTTACATGGACTGGTCCCCGTTTTTGAGAATTGATCTGATAAGATATGTTAGGGCCTCCTGGGCACAGGATTCAGAATATTTCAATGTTTGGAGGAGAGACTGAGCTGGATTTTTGGGGAACTGCAAGTGTCTGTTACATCTGGTAGGAATAGCGAGCAGAGTGGGAGGTGGCTAGAGACACACGAACATCAGGCCTGGAATGACAGCCTAGGTCCTGGGTCTCTATTCTAAGGGAAGTGGGAGGTGGGGAAGATTTAAAGCAAAAGAGGTAGTGATAGGACCCTAGTTTAAGGGACTTCCTTTGGCTTCTGAGTGGAGGACAGACTGGAGGTGAGGGTAATGGCAGGGAGATCTGAGAGGATGCTCCTGCAGAAGTCTAGGTAGATGTTGGTGGTGGCTTGTCAAGAGTGGTCATAGCTTCAGTTTTAACTAGAGCTGCCCACATTTTATGATGTAGAGAGTGAGGGAGCTAGGGAGGTGGGATGGAAGGGGAATCAGGAGTGGCCGCATGGTTTTTGTTTGGAAGCATAGATACTCCATCAGCTAAAATGGGAGAAGTCAGCAGTAGAAGGAATTTTCAGAGTGAGTATGAGGAGTCAGTGTTTGTTCAGGCCACAGATGTCTCAGAGACTCCTGGTGGAGGAGTTCAGGTTGGAAACGTCCACACCACAGTGGCTGTCATATGGACCAGGATGAAGCCGTGGATTCAGTTTAGGTGACAGCATCTCTAGGTTATGGTGGCAGTGCTGTTTGACGATAGAGAATTGGAATGGGGCATGAGACCTGGGTCTCTTACTGGGTACATGTGTGGTGGGGGGGAGTCACTAGACAAATGAGGAAATGGAGTGTTTGTGGGGATGAGTGTATGTGAGATGGTGGGGTATAGGAGTGAGAAAGGCTTCTGAAGGAGAGTGGACATGATGGGGTTGATGAGGGGGTAATAGGGTGAGGTTGGAGAGTTGCTAAGCATCAGTTGGATTGAGGTGAGGATGGGAGTTATATTAGTCCATTTTCATATTGCTACAAAGAACTACCTGAGACTGGGTAATTTATGAGGAAAAGAGGTTTAATTGGCTCACAGTTCTTTTTCTGTTGTTTGTTTATTTTTGAGATGTGGCCCAGGCTGGAGAGCGGTGGCATAATCTCAGCTCACTGCAATCTCTGCCTCCCAGGTTCAAGTGATTCTTCTGCCTCAGCCTCCTGAGTAGTGGGGACGACAGACTCACACCACCACGCCCAGCTAATTTTTGTATTTTTAGTAGAGATAGGGTTTCACCATGTTGGCCAAGATGGTCTTGATCTCCTGACCTCGTGATCCACCTTCCTCAGCCTCCCAAAGTGTTGGGATTACAGGCATGAGCCACTGTGCCTGACCCATAGTTCTTTAGGCTTAACAGGAAGCATAACTGGGAGGCCTCAGGAAACTTACAATCCTGTGTCCATGAGGCAGGACACAGCTGAGAGTATGTGAAGTCCTCACATGGTTGGTTTGGGCTGCTGACAGTGAAGTGAGAAACAGGGGCATGTAGGGAACCTTCAAAGCAGGGCTTTGGGCTGCCCCCAGTGCTAGGAGACTTTGGTGTTCTGGGGCAGGACTGGGAGTGAACTGGATGCTGAGCGTATTTGCCGTGCACCACCTGGTTTCCGTGTGCAGAGTGGCCTGTTAGGAGGTGAAGAAAATGCCTGTGGTGTGGGCTGGGAGGTGTCTGTGGAATTGACGGGAGTGGAGGTGTGAGAGCTGGGATTGGAGTGCTGACCAAAGACTGATGTTTAGGCAGGAGAAGTGTGAATGGAGGCCCCAGGCCCTGCCCCTGGTAGCTCAAGGGAGGAGGATGAGTCTGAGTTTGGTTGTCTTGGGAGGCAAGATCTGGGTGACTCCATGGAAACTGGCTGGCGGGAGAGGATGGATCCCCCCATGGGAAGCCCACATTCTAGATGGTACTTTTCTACCTTGTCCTTCATGTAGTTTCTCTGTGTGCTGGACACGGTGGCCAATGGAAATGGGGAGAGAAAAATCACTCATGCCACCTGGATGTGGTGTCTCTTCCACACTGGGAGGGTGTGGAGGAGATTGAGCAAGGAATGGAGGTAAAGGGGAGAGGGATGAGATCCTGGAGAGAGAAATGTAGCAGTCATTTCACCCATAGGGTTTTAATTTATGGATGTGAGTGAGTGATGCCAGGGACAGGCCAATGACACTGAAAGAAGATATGTATTCCTTGCATTTCCCTAAGGAGGGTACACACCACATAACACAGGGCCACATGGTGAGGCCCCATATTTGGTTAGGAGGAAAATTGGAGTGAGGGGAAAGTTTAGTTTAGTCCACAGACGCTGTTGGGGTTTCCAAGGAAAACAAGGCAGGGCTGGGTGTCAGGATAGTTTGGCTAGTTTTAGTAATTCCAGGACACGTGGGCTATTGGGACTATCCCTAGTTGTGCAGTACCTGTCCCTGGGTTGATTTAGAACATGGGAAATATTGGCTTGTTTGAGAAAGTTAGAGACGGAGGTGGTTCAGAATATGTGCCCAGGATGGTAGGGGAGATGGAAACACATTTGGCTGTTAGTTTGTCCCTGTGTTTAATGGGTGGTAAATATAAGTAGAAAATAAATAGAGAACGTAAGTAAATACAGCTTGAAAAGAAGCTACTCATGTATTCATCTTTCCCAATTTGGCAGGGCCGTGTGGTCTTTGAGGACGTGGCCATATATTTCTCCCAGGAGGAGTGGGGGCACCTTGATGAGGCTCAGAGGTTGCTGTACCGCGATGTGATGCTGGAGAATTTGGCCCTGTTGTCCTCACTAGGTAAGGCCCTCACTCTTGCCCAGTGTCCCGGTTGGGCTGTGTTATCTCACTAGGTAAGGCCCTCACTCTTGCCCAGTGTCCTGGGTTGGGCTGTGTTGTCTCACTAGGTAAGGCCCTCACTCTTGCCCAATGTCCCGGTTGGGCTGTGTTGTCCCTTTTTACCCAAAGGCAGCTCTGTGTTTCCCACAGTGACACCGTGGGTGCTGCTTCTTTTCCCTGTTTCTTGGCATATATGCTGTGGGAGGCAGGGCTAGGCTGTGTGTTCTTTTTTTTTTTTGAGACGGAGTCTTGCTCTGTCCCCCAGGCTGGAGTGCAGTGGCCGGATCTCAGCTCACTGCAAGCTCCGCCTCCCGGGTTCACGCCATTCTCCTGCCTCAGCCTCCCGAGTAGCTGGGACTACAGGCGCCCGCCACCTCGCCCGGCTAGTTTTTTGTATTTTTTAGTAGAGACGGGGTTTCACCGTGTTAGCCAGGATGGTCTCGATCTCCTGATCTCGCGATCCACCCGTCTCGGCCTCCCAAAGTGCTGGGATTACAGGCTTGAGCCACCGCGCCCGGCGGCTGTGTGTTCTATACCCCCTTTTTCCTAGCGTCCCCATCCCTGCTGCTCTGAAGCTTACAATAAAGGGCTCAGGAACCCAAAATGTTGAATTTTGCATAGAGACCCCACCAGCCTTGTCTGTCCCTGATCAGGTTACTCTGTGCAAACACATGAGACCTGTGTTCTGTTGTCCCCTTTCTCTCGCTGCTATTTCTTGGTGCCTTCCTGTGCTTGGAATTTCAGGCACTGCCCTGGTCACTATTTTTGGGGACTACTGGGTTAATTGTGCAGGACACAGGACTCTTATGTGAAGTTCTTAGGATTGTAGAATGTGGGATGCCATGGGCTCGATCTCTCTGGACATGTGCTGTTTACGCTTTTTCTCTTTCCCCTAGAGAGGGCCCTAGGCACCTGAGAGGGTGGCTAGTACTTCAACAATGGCATTGGAGGCTCAGGGACATGGTCCTGGTGCCTGGGAGTTGGGAAGAGGGTTGATGTCACAGCTGGGGTCAAATCACCCTGGGAACCTGTCCTGTGCTCACCATTGTTTGCTGTCAGGGCCACTGGCCACAAATTTCCACCTTTTCTTCCCCATTATCATTTCTAGTATGATTGCTGGCCCCTGCACCTCCAATGCCCCACAGTCTATACTTCTGGGGCCACCACCCCTCACCCATTCTTTTCCACTGCTCCCTTTGAATGCCTGCCAACACATGACCTGTATTTAAGGTAGCGTGAAGTCTGCATGTATCCGTGAACACCAGCTCCTCTGTCACAGTCTGATCTCTCTGGGTTTGGAGAGAACCTTATACACACTGCTTTCCAGTCTCCAGCAACCATGGCCTGTTGATGACTGTGTGCAGAGGAGTTAGTTGGAGATCCTGCCTTCTCTCTCTGTACCGTATCCCTCCTTTGTATGCTTACCATCATCAAGGCTCTCCCATTATGGGCCCTCGCCAGGCCCAGTCCTACATAGTGGACCCTCCTCTCACTGGCCTTAATGTCCATGATATCCCCAGTCCCATGGCCTTATTTGTGTGTGTGCCTGACACACATTGTGATGGAGCTGCCTTCTCCACCAGAGTCAGCATGCACTTCACCCGCATTTCTGTTCTGACAGGTTGTTGGCATGGAGCTGAGGATGAGGAGGCACCTTCACAGCAAGGTTTTTCTGTAGGAATGCCAGAGGTTACAACTTCAAAGTCCTATCTGTCCACCCAGAAGGTCCACCCTAGTGAGACATGTGACCCACCCTTGAAAGACATTCTGTGCCTGGTTGAGCACAGTGGAATTCATCCTGAGCAAGACATATATATTTGTGAGGCAGAGCTTTTTCAGCACCCAAAGCAGCAAATTGGAGAGAATCTTTCCAGAGGGGATGATTGGATACCTTCATTTGGGAAGAACCACAGAGTTCACATGGCAGAAGAGATCTTCACATGCATGGAGGGCTGGAAGGACTTACCAGCCGCCTCATGCCTTCTCCAGCACCAGGGCCCTCAAAGTGAGTGGAAGCCGTACAGGGACACAGAGGACAGAGAAGCCTTTCAGACTGGACAAAATGATTACAAATGTGGTGAATGTGGGAAAACCTTCACCTGCAGCTATTCCCTTGTTGAGCACCAGAAAATCCACACAGGAGAAAGGTCTTATGAATGTACCAAATGTGGGAAATTCTTTAAGTACAGTGCCAATTTCATGAAACATCAGACAGTTCACACTAGCGAAAGGACTTATGAGTGCAGAGAATGTGGAAAATCCTTCATGTACAACTACCGACTCATGAGACATAAGCGAGTTCACACCGGAGAAAGGCCTTATGAGTGCAGCACATGTGGGAAATTCTTCCGGTACAGCTCCACATTTGTTAGACATCAGAGAGTCCACACTGGAGAAAGGCCGTATGAGTGCAGGGAATGTGGGAAATTCTTTATGGACAGCTCCACACTCATTAAACATCAGAGAGTTCACACCGGAGAAAGACCTTATAAGTGCAATGACTGTGGGAAGTTTTTTAGGTACATCTCTACACTCATTAGACATCAGAGAATTCACACTGGAGAAAGGCCTTATGAGTGCAGTGTATGTGGGGAATTGTTTAGGTACAACTCCAGCCTCGTTAAACATTGGAGAAACCACACTGGAGAAAGGCCTTACAAATGCAGTGAATGTGGGAAATCATTTAGGTACCACTGCAGACTCATTAGACACCAAAGAGTCCACACGGGAGAAAGGCCTTATGAGTGCAGCGAATGCGGGAAATTCTTTCGTTACAACTCCAACCTCATTAAACATTGGAGAAATCACACTGGAGAAAGGCCTTATGAGTGCAGAGAGTGTGGGAAAGCCTTTAGCCACAAGCATATCCTTGTCGAGCACCAGAAAATCCACAGTGGAGAAAGACCTTATGAGTGCAGCGAATGCCAGAAGGCCTTTATTAGAAAGTCTCACCTGGTTCATCACCAGAAAATCCACAGTGAAGAGAGGCTTGTGTGCTCCATGAGTGTGGGGAATTCTTTAGCTAAAACTCCAGCCTCATTAAACGTCAGAGATTTCACAATGGAGAAAGTTTACCATTGACTATTGTAATTGGGTAGTAATGTTATATAAATTCCACATTTTTATGCAACTAATCTCCAGAACATTTTTCCTCTTGCAAAAAAAGTAAAATGCTGGACCCATGAACAACAACTCATTCCCCTTCCCTACTTCCCCAGAAATGTCTCAACTATATTTCTATACTCTATGTCTATGAATTTCATATCTATTGGTACCTCATATAAGTGGATTCATACAGTATTTATCTTTTGAGACTGGCTTATTTCACTTAGGATAAGGTCTTCACGGTTCACCCACATTGTATAATGTGTCAGAATATCCTTCCTTTATTAGGTGAAAAAATATTCTGTGCTATTTATATACTACATTTATTTATCCATTCATCTGTTAATGGATGCTTGGGTTACTTCTACCTTTTGCCTATTGAAATAATGCTGCTATGAAGATGAGTATACAATTGTCTATTCAAGATTCTACTTTCAATTCTTGTTGGGTATATACTCAGAAATGGTAGTGCTGGATCATATTGGATTTCTTTTTTTTTTTTTTTTTTTTTTTTGAGACAGAGTCTTGCTCTGTCACCCAGGCTGGAGTGCAGTGGTGTGATCTCGGCTCACTGCAAGGTCCACCTCCCAGGTTCATGCCATTCTCCTGCCTCAGCCTTCTGAGTAGCTGGGACTACAGGTGCCCGCCACCACGCCTGGCTAATTTTTTTTTGTATTTTTAGTAGAGATGGGGTTTCACCATGTTAGCCAGGATGGTCACAATCTCCTGACCTTGTGATCCACCTGCCTTGGCCTCCCAAAGTACTGGGATTACAAGCGTGAACCACCGTGCCTGGCCAGATTTTTATTTTTAATATTTTTGAGAAAACTTTTTCCGTAGTACCTGTGCCATTGTACATTCCCACCAGCAGTGCACAAGGATTACAATCTATATATATCCTCACCAACATTGTTCATTTTCTATTTCTGTTTTTTGGGTTTTTTTGTTGTGCCTTTTGTTTTGCATAGCAGCTATCCTGTTGGATGTGAGGTGGAATCTCATAGTGTCTTTCATTTTTATTTTGTGAATGATTAATGATGTTGAGGATCTTTTCATGTGCTTGTTAGGCATTTGTGTATCTGGAAAAATATTCAAGTCTCTTTTTCCATTTTTAATGGGACTCTTTGCTTTTTGTTGAGTTGTAGAAATTCTTTATAGATTCTGGATATTAACTCCTTACCAAATATATGCTTTTGACATATTACCTCCCAGTCCATAGGTTGCTTTTTTGCTCTGTTGATTGTGTCCTTTGATGAAATTTTAAATTTTGATGTACTGTTGACTCTCTCTGTCCCTGGGTTCTGTATTCATGGATTGAAGCAACCATGGATCAAAAGTATTTGGAGCATCCATGGATTGCACTGATCATTAATCAGAAATATTTGGAAAACAAAAAGGGTAGTTGGATCTGTACTAAACACGAACAGACATTTTTTCTTGTCATTATTCCCTAAACCATATATTATAATAAATATTTACATAGCATTTACATTGTGTTAGATGTTATAAATAACCTAGTGATTATATAGGAAGATGTGTGTAGGTTATATGCAAACTTTATGCCTTTTTAGATGAGAGACTTCTTGAGCATCAGATGATTTTGGTATCCACAAGGGGTCCTGGAATCAGTCCCCCACGGACACCAAGGGATGACCGTAGTCCAGTTTATCTATTTTTACCTGTTACCTGGGCTTTTGATGATATATATATATATATATATTAGTATCAAATCCAATGCCAAGCATTTTCCCTATGTTTTAATCTAAGAATTTTATATTTGTAGGTCTTACATTTAGGTCTTTTTTTTTTTCTTTTGGAGACAGAGTCTTGCTCTGTCACCAGGCTGGAGTGCAGTAGTGGAATCTCAGCTCACTGCAACCTCCACCTCCTGGGTTCAAGCCATCACCCCACCTCAGCCTCCCTAGTAGCTTGGATTACAAGTGTATGCCACCACACCTGGCTAATTTTTGTATTTGTAGTAGAGATGGGGTTTCGCCATGTTGGCCAAGCTGTTCTTAAACTTCTGGCCTTAAGTGATCCACCCACCTTGGCCTCCCAAATTGCTGGGATTATAGGCAGGAGCTGTAATGCACTGTGCCTGGCTACATTTAGATCTTTAATCCACTTGGGGTTCATTTTTGCATATGGTTTTAAGGCAAAAGTCCACTTCATGTGGCTATCCAGTTTTCCAAGCACCATTTGTTGAAAAGAGCATCTTTCCTCTGTTGAGTAGTCTTGGCACACTTGTCAAAATCATTTGTCTGTATGTGCCATGGTTTATATGTGGATTCTCTATTGTATTGGTCATATGTCTGTCTTTATGTGAGTACCACACATTTTAGGTATGTGTGTGAGACTCAGTTTTGAGGACAAGGCTAGTGGGCTTTCACACTCCAGACTGCTGTATTCCAGCCCAAATTATTCAAATTAGCCAATCCATGGGGAACATGGAAAACATAGCTAATGCAATCCCCTTGCCTTCCCTAAGTTGTCCCTGCAGCCTCAGGTTGCTGTTACTCTGTCTCAGATGCATCCCTCTGTGGGACCTCACCCAAGTTCTCTCATTCTTAGCTATAGGTAATAAATAGTTCTGATTTTGTGTATCCAAGTGACATTGGGTTGTTTCTTGCTATGAGAAAAACCCAGAAAGGTATTATGAGTCTAGCGAATGTTGGAAAGTCTTTAGCCATTAGCCTAATCTTATCTCGTGCCAGCACGTTCACCCTAGAGAACAATAGAAGTGAAGGCAATGTGATCTTTCCTTGTTAACATAATAACTCAGTAGAGCAATGCTTTGGAGATTAGTTTTTTAGGGAGACAGCCAGCAGTTGAGCCTCCTGCATCTAAACATCCACACTAGGGATATTGTCTATACTGCCAGATATATGGGAAGATTTTGTGAACTGTGTTGCTCTTTTCAACTTGACTGGGGCTTTTGCCAGAGTTATGCCCCTGCCAGGGCCTATTAAAAAAGTCATCTCTTTTCTACCAACTGGCAAAGAGCCATGGTGTGTAGCACTTTAGTCACATTAAAACGCAGTTATGGGCCGGGCGCGGTGGCTCAAGCCTGTAATCCCAGCACTTTGGGAGGCCGAGACGGGCGGATCACGAGGTCAGGAGATCAAGACCATCCTGGCTAACACGGTGCAACCCCGTCTCTACTAAAAAATACAAAAAACTAGCTGGGCGAGATAGCGGGCGCCTGTAGTCCCAGCTACTTGGGAGGCTGAGGCAGGAGAATGGCGTAAACCCAGGAGGCGGAGCTTGCAGTGAGCTGAGATCCGGCCACTGCACTCCAGCCTGGGTGACAGAGCGAGACTCCGTCTCAAAAACAAAACGCAGTTATGGCAGCATGCTGTGTTCTCTATCTGAAGAATTCACTAGTCACTTGAACACTTTGGAGGCCTCACCCCCACTCCTATGATTGATTAGGGCATAGACATCAGCCTTGGACAGAAGACATGGACTGGCTTTGGCAGGCAGATTGCAGAAATTTCCTTTCTCCAGGGGAAAGTATTGGTTATCTCATTGATAGTGGTAGGACGCAGATAAATTCCTAGGCAGACTAAGGACAGGTCCCTGGTGAAACCCAAACTTCAAGCCAAAGACAGTTTAAAGCCTGAAAATTGAGCTGCCAGTTCCAAGTCCATGACTGGAGTGAGAACTTCTTCAATGCCTTTTAGCCAATCGAATGGTGCTTTTTCCAGGCTCACCCATGGCCCAATCAGTATGCAGTCCCCATTCTGAGCCCATAACCTGGACCCCGCTACATACTGGGCTACCCACTTTCGGGTCCCCTCTTCTTGTTGAGAGCTTTTCTGCCACTCAGTAAAGTTCCCTGCCTGGCTCACTCTCTGGTGTCCACATAACGTCATTCTTGGTTGTGGGACAAGAACTCGGAAACTGCCAAATGGCGGGTGTGAAAGGAGCTTTAACACTGCAGCCCTCCTGCCTTCCACCAGCCCCAGGCAGCCACCCCATGTGACAGGAAGCAGTGGCAGCAGGGCCAGGCCAGCTCACACAGGGTGGCAGGACGAAACCAGCTGTGCCACACCCCCATTCACTGAAGTGTGTGGACGGTAGGAACAGACAAGCTGTGACACAAATCAGCTGTAATGCTTCCTTGGGGCTCAGACCTTGGGATTCCCTGAGCAAAAGCTGTAACACCCCTTGGGGCTCCGTGGTTGCTGACGTCTCTGAGTTTTTGGGCGCTACTGTGTCCCCCTTGTCCAGACACCAGCTCCCAAGGCAGAAGCCGGTCGCAGCACGCCTGGACCAGCTGTAGGCCAAGCACAGAGCCATAGTGGGCACAGGATCCGGCTGGTAGCATGAGCCAAGCACAGCCTGCCGGACTGAGTGGGTGGAGTGAGCCCAGCAGGCCAAGCGATGTCTGGGCAGAGGTGCTTCGGCCATGGAGGTTTCTGGCTGGTGAAGTGGCACTGAAAGGATCCTGTGTCATCATGACACTTGGGATGGAATTTTCCAACCTGCCAGTCACCCACACTGAACTCCTTCTCACCCCTAATGCACACACATACCCTGGTTGGTTTTGTGATAATAAAGGTCACATTGTTTAAGCTACCTTCACTCTTGGAAATCTAGTCACTGTCTGCAGTGGGTTTTGAACAGAATTGGTCTCTGCTAGAATAAAAGCATGAATGTTTTTTCTGTGGGACCTTTGTGAGCTCCAGAGGGAGTAGTAGGACGCAAAATCTCAGCTCTCATGCAGATTTGGACCAATTTGCACTGCCATGAGAAGCCTCCTGGGAAAGTCTGAAGGACTTCTGCACAAAATCTCGAGCCCTGAGTACAAAGGTTATTTGTATTCAGAAGACTACAATTTGAGGAGAAATCAGTTGCCTTGATGTTTAAGGCATTGGGCAACAGTATGCATTGGGTATCCCTACACAGATTTCCCATATTTCCCCTGCATTGAAGAGGGATAGCTGTCTCTTGTGACCTGCTGGGAGCTATGTGTCCTGAAGTAAAACACTATCTAGGTGTATGTTCCTGGCTATTGACCTTTAGGGCCAGATGGAAGCCATATTCGTTTTTTTTTTTTTTTTTTTTTTGGACAGAGTCTCGCTCTGTTGCCCAGGCTGGAGTGCAGTGGAATGATCTCGGCTCACTGCAACCTTGCTTCCTGGGTTCAAGCAATTCTGCCTCAGCCTCCCGAGTAGCTGGGACTATAGGTG